TGTGTACCTGGAGAGAAGATGGCTGGTATTGTAGCACACTCAGGCAGGCTGAAGTTGGAGCCAATGTCCTCGAATTTGTCCCAGAATCGCACGGCGACACAGTACCGCCTGCCGGGCTCCAAACGATCCCACTTATAGCTCTTCAGAGACACAGTCTTGATGAACTGCACACACAGGCACAGATTATCAGCACAGGAGGCGTCCTGCTCACACAGACTCCGACTGACACAGCAGCAGGTCTCTCATGTGACGCCTGCTCTTAGCCTACAGACTTTTTACATTTAGGAAAATATTTAAACATTTATCATAAATCAGAGTGGACTCATGACTGACTTCAAACTGTTCAAAGCCTTGGGCCACACTTTCTGTCCCAGAGGTTCAGGAGTACGTCACTGCCCATAAAGATCCACTCAGAGCTAACAGATGAAAGCAGGAAGTAAACTTGTTTCTAACGCGCTTCGAGCCAGCGCTCAGGTATCACCACGGTTACTGTGCGAGGTACGCTCTTATGCTCATCGGCAGCTGGTGAGGACGCACGGCGAGCATCATTTCAGAGAAATGTAATAACAGTGGGACAGAATTCCACAGCTGGATCACCATGGAAACATTAATGGAAGCGGCGGACACGGAGAGTGAGCGGAAAAATAACCGCAGCGACACAAAGTGGGCGGGTCCAAAGTGGAGTTAGTGTTGTGTGATTTGAAAGGTAACTCGCAGTCCCATGTCAGGCCTGTAGGCCAGGCTCCTCCCTCCTTATACTTTGCTTGAGGTGACATTTGACCCTCGACGTCTTAGCCGTTTATTTGCGGAGGTGAAACTCAAACCGGGGGTTCTGATTGGTCTCCCTCTCTCATGTACCTCCATCTTATCCGGGTTGCTGCTGCTGATCTGGAGCTCGTAATGGAGAATGTTGTAGCTCTGCCTGAGGCGCTCCAGCGGAGGGTGAAGATCCACGCTCAGGCTTCTGTCGCTGGGCGCCACGCTAAGCAGCGGCAGGCTCAGGTGTTCTGCAGAAATCAGAAACAACGCATGACGCACACACACGGCTCTGAGGGCTGAAAATAACAAACACGTGGCGTCTCCGGAACTGAAGACTCAACACTCACTGATGGGTTTGAATGGGACCCCGGTCTCGTTCGGGTCTCCAAAGACCTGGCCTCCCAGCTGAGCTCCAACCCTTGTAAAGTACTTCTCCGTTAGGACGGAGAACGCCGCCGTCAAGTCACAAAACAGAGGCTTCTGCACACGCTCACAGCCGGCCACCGGGTTCCAGCTATGTTTCCTGTCATGACCAGAGAGGAGAGAAACATCAGATCTCAGAGGAAGTGTTCGTGATCACCTGAGCCAATATGTGCCAGAAACATGTCAGAACTCCTGAAGAAAACGCAGACTATCATCAGGGTACCAACCAGGTGACATCAGCACACCTGCAGCTGTCAGTGTGTGAAGGTAAACCCACCTCTCAGTTGTGTATTCAACGTTATAGTAGACCCCTGGAGGTGTGCCTGGTCCCGCCTCCCATTTCAGTATATAACTGAAGTTGAGTGATGTCACGGAGATGTTGACGGGCTTTGGAACGGTACCTACAGCTGGAACACAGACAGGAAGAGGAAAGGTCGAAGTTCAGCAGGAGACCAGCACCATGAGTTATCTGACCCGCAGCACAAAATGAAACATCTTAAATGTCAGCAGAAAAACAATAAAATTATTATTCTTCGCGGACACTCTACATAATTATTAAACAGGCAGCAGCTCTTCTACGCCTGACAGAACTCCAGCTTTGCTCCTGCACATGTGCACGCTGTGGGAGGAAAGAAAGACCCAGCAAACATCTCCCCACCGTCAGTCGTTCCAGGGAAAGGAACTCTTCATGCTTCAGCAGACCATCTCATGGTCCCAACTTTGTGGGAACAGTTTGGGGATGGCTGTTCCAACATGGCTGAACACCGGTGTGCAGAAAGACATGGATGAGCTGTGGAAGAACCTGCCTGCACAGAGTCCTGACCTCAGCCCGACAGAACACCTTTGGGATGAGTTAGAGACTGTGAGCCGGGGCTTCTCGTCCAACATCAGTGTGACCTCACAAATGTTCTTCTGAATGGTCCAAAATTCCCATAAACACTCCTAAACCTCTGGAAAGAAGAGCTGCAAACTGTTGCTAATATAGTGTCCTAAAGACTGCTGCAGCCTCTACGTCTGAAAAGCCTGATTGGACACAAGTCTGTGACAACATGAGCAGCCTACTCTGGGCTCAGTCAACTCCTTCCTGATGATTTCATGGTCTCAGGTCTGACTGAATAACACGCCTTTACAGTGACAAAGGAACAGAAAGCAGGGGACGGTGAGTGGATGACCACAGGCTGTCAGCCAGCCGGGACACTCAGGTGGTTTCCGAGAGGAAACGGCCTGAACTATGACACGGAGAGTCCAGAAATACGCAGAGGCAAGATCACGTGGTTCTGAGTGCGCGCTCACCTGGCAGGATCAGAGGCAGCCATGAGAGCATCCAGATGAGAGCGGTCATGACAGCTGGAGCACATCTGCCGAGCTTCCATCAGCACCTCGACGGACAGACAGCAGCTGCTTTCACTTTCTGAGCAGGGATGAAAGTGCAGTTACAGACCCACGCTTTTACTTTCTGTCTCATGTCTTACAGTTAAACACAGTTAATAAAGTTTTGATATTGAAATAAACCTTTATTGACACCCCCGTGGTTCTGTTAGCCTCTGATTTGGCCTCAGACTTCCCTGCAAGTACAGACTGTGAGATAAGTTTAACTTGCTGACCTGTTACGGAGAGATAAAGCCCCCATGAAGCGTCACTGGTCCGCAGATTCAAGTTTTCGTGTTTTTCTCAAACCGCCCACTCGCCGGAAATTCCTCCTCATCTCAGGCTGACGGGCTAACAGGCTAACGGGCTAACAGACTAACGGGCTAACGGGCTAGCACCCTCTGTGTTGTTAAAAGATCAAAGCTCCAGGCTGGTAGTAACCGATCAATGAGTCCGTGCGTGTTACCTGTCCCGGTGAGCGTCCCGATAGGCTTCCGTTAGCGCTGTCACAGGACCGAAACACGCTGCTGCCGCCCCGCTGCCTTCACGGACCTCCGGTAATCCCGAACTCTCTCCTGCTCCTGTGTCGTTCCTTTGATCAAAGCAACATCACACCCAACAATGACACAGCAACAACACTTAGAAACATTTACCACTCGGTCGGTTTGAGTTTGTTGTTGACCAGTCTGACAAATCATAAAGTGTAAACTTCGTTTGACACACAGCATTAAATACAGCCGGACAGACGCAATAAAATATACCGTCACAGTTGATTTAACGGCACATCTTCCTTGAAATCGGGTGTAGCAAATATATATCTATATATCTATAGATATTTTTTTTTCTTTACTGTTTATAACGCCGTCTCTTCACGAGATCTCATTAGACCGGCGGTCATGAATGCAGCACCGCGGGAAGTCGGTGATAGGAAATCACGTGATATTGTGGAAGCGCGGACGCTTACCTGACAGGCTCTCAGTAGCTTTGAGAAGTCATGTGATATAGTTTGTGGTTATTTTCCTTAGATTTGAGGTTTACATTTAGTTTTAAATATCCGTGTACGCGCTTCACGAGCAGGTCATGTTATAACCACAACAACAAACCATGGTGGAATAAAATAACGATTTAATTTCTTATTTTCAAACCCTTAAGATTATGAAAACCAAAAATGCAGTGAAACCTTTTAACACAAAGAAGTTTAGTAAGTT